CAGTGACTCATAAACACAGCCACCTACTGGTGAAACAATATATCCTGCAGAAAAGACACATTAAAATAAAAAATCCTCCCCACTAATACACAGAATGACGGTCTGGTACAAGTGTACCACACACGTCCTTGAAAAGTGAAGCCAAAATATTTTGATCCTACATTTTCCTCACCCCCTGGTGGCTGACTGCAGTATTGTACATAAACCCCACCCTCTCCATGTAAAGGGATTGGATGTGACAAACTAAAAATGTAATTACACTTGTCTGTCATTTTAGATAGTTCTTATCGTGCTGGTGTGTGTTGTTTATTTTTCGACTAAGTTTGGTTTTAGTTTGTTATTTAATGCCATAAAAACTGCATGTATTTTGGGGTTTGATACCACGGCTCCACATACAAAAAACTATTTTGGCTTCATTCTATAGTTAAAGGAAATAGGGGTTATGCGCGACAGACTTCCGTATTCTGTTAACCTGGTCTCGCCGCTTCCGGTTCAAGCGTTTTGCATATGCTTCATTAAATATGAAGCAGTTTTACTCAAGATGCCTTCAAATTAGATACCAAAGATTATCAAAACCAATGTCCATCACATATGCGGAATGATATCTAAACATTTTTTTATTTTTATTCTTTTCACTAACATTTATATAAAAAAAATTGAATAAAACGTCAACAATAAAAACAGCTAGCTAGTTTAACTGATTATCTTAAAAGTCCATAGATATCACTATTTTTTATTACGGCTTTTAGCACGTTCTCCGACAAGTGGAAGCGATGAGACCAGTTTCCGGGTTTAGTTAGGTGACGTTCGACATATACCCTATAGAGATGTGTCATCCATCTTTTTAAAAAGTATGAAAAAATTCTGAGCCAGTTAAGTAAAGCAAAAAAAAAAATGTTTATAATTGGGTGCGTAGATTCAATAAATAGAAGAAAAACACAAAAAGTCCAGGCAAAAAATCGGCACACCAAACGAAATGCAAAGTTCAAGGTCCTTTGAATGAGTTTATTCCTGAAGATTTACATAGAGGTGACAACAATTTTTGTATTTGTTTTTGGTTTGTTTTTGTACAGTCTACGGTCTGGAACGCACAAACACAGACAAGCGGAGTGATAAAATAGTAAAAACTCTAAATATCAATTTAGATATAAATATAAAATTATTAGCATATTATTAAATATTAGCACCCTTAGAGCACCACTCAATCAAGTCCAAGGACTGGAACTAACCGCTGTCTCATTTGAATGACAGTTTAATAAGGAATAACTGACAACGAGACATTGAATTACATATGGTGGATTATCCCGCTTGGTCATCTTCCAGCATTGACAAGTTAGAGCGGTTTTTAATTTGATTATGTCATTCAAAGTGGTTCATGGGATTGTAGTTCTTGCTGTCATTAAAGTTGTTAAGTGCACAGTCTGTACCTTTATCTTTTTGTCAGATCTTCAAATTTTTTTTTTATCATATTTTTTTTACCACCTTGCTCCTGTGAAATGTAGCAGCTCACTAGCAAAACTTTTTATTTTAAATTCATTTTTTGTTTGTCATATTTAGCTTCTTGAATTTCTTTGTGGTCTTTGCTGTTTTTCTTTGAAAACAAAAACTGAAACAATTTTGGTGCAGTGATACTGAACTATAATATGTTTAAGACCTGCCTGGAATTATTTTAGCTGTGATTTACTGAATTTTTAACTTAATAATTTACAGAAAAATTGCACACTTTAGAAAGCTTGTCAACAAATCAAAATCAATCAAAGAGCCCCATGGTATAGATATTTATAACTAAAAATAAACAAATTTTTTTGTTCTCTCTCAATTTTTTGTTTTCTGTTTCCACCACAGAATAAAACATAAAAAAAGGTAATTGCAACTTATCTCACAATTATTTATTTATTTATTTCCTCACAATTGTGAGTTTATATCTCACATTCTGGCTTTTCTTTTCAGAATTACATGTGTATATCTTGTAATTGCAAATTAATGTCTCGCAATTCTTTTCTCAGAATTGCAAGGTATTAACTTTCAATTGCGAGATAGAAACGTAATTCTGAGAAGAAAAGCCAGAACTGTGAGATATAAGCTAGGGGAAAAGAAAAAAAAAAATCAGAATTGTGAGATAAAAAGTTGCAATTGTGAAATAAAGTCTGAATTGTGAGATACAAATTCACAATTACCTCTTTATTTTATTTTTTCCCCCCATTGTGGAAACAAGCTTCCATACCCCTCTGCATAGCTGTACGTTCAAAAGTTTGCTTGATAGGTAAATAGATTTGTTGTGCTGTCCATGATTGAAGGTTTGTTCCTAAATTGAGAGCAGGCTCTCAACTGGATTAGATGAACAAGTTTCTCCTGAACTTACATCATGAACTTCATGATGTAGACATGTTTTCATTTTCAGGTTTGAAGAGAGTTTACTTGCTGCTGAAAGATGAATGTGAAGCACCTAGAGAAAGAAGAGAGAGAACAGCATAACATATTTCAGTCTTTCTGCCATGGAGACATTGGCATGCAAACACAATGAAAAATACATATGCTTCTGTCAAAGTGTGCCAAGACCTACCCAGCCACAACACGGCCAGGGAATGAATAACCCTCTCCATGAGCGAACTGAATCTTCTTTTGTTGCTCTTGAATACTGCAGTACGTGGAGTGTGTGTGGGGAGCTTCTGCGCTGGCGGTGTGTGTTCTGTGCGTAATTGGATTAGACTGAGTGCTGCGGATGTCGCCTGTCAATTAGACCTTTATGAACTGCACTTTATTGCCTGAGAATTATTTCATGTACAATGAGCAGATTATATGAACAGACTGAGTAAAAGGCTTTAAATTAAACCGCTATCACATGCATTATTGCAAGAGTCATTATAAACAATAAACGAGTTTATTTATTGTGAACCATGCAGCTAAAGTAATGAGTAATACAATTAAACAATTCGTTTTATTAGTTTGGAGCTGATTGCTAATGCATGTTGTTAGTATCATTGCTCTTGTAATTGTAGTTGTGTTTATAAAATGATTGAATGTTATTGAATTACATACCAAATATTTAAGCAAGTGGCAAATAATAAAAAACAATCTAACTTTCACTTTTCAGATTACAAAACCATGTATTTTACATATACACCTTCTGGTGCTGTTTTTACGTTTTGGTTATTTATAATTTGTTTACTTCAATGGAATGGTACGAAACTTGGTAAAAGTTTTGACAAATTGTATATGTGAAAACAATTTATTAAAAAAAATATGGACATAATTTGAAAAGGTTAAATGGTCCTGAAAAATAGTCACACTAGTACTGTTCACTGTCAAAAATACCATATTGGAAATGAATGGGTAGTGAATTTCATCTAGTGGAAATGATTGGTTCTGTGCCCAAACAAAATCTTACTTTTTTTTTTTCAACCTCAGATATCAACCCTTAAATTTGGAACACAGCTTGTTTAGATTCATGGCTTTGATAGAGTTTTACAGTAAAACACATCTTGGAACATGTATTACATATAAAATGTAAAAAAATTAGCATTTTGTGCATTTTTCATAATAATACAATTAAATTCTATAAAAAATTTTCACTTCAGCTAATACCGGCCAAGTGTCTTCTTAAAAAAAAAAAAAAAAGTCTGTGCTCCAAAGCATTCAAGATTTATGATAGTTTATTTATTTTATGTTTTTGGAAATTTTATTTTCAGGTCTATGCTCAGAAAGTGGTTAATAGGTGATAAATGGATCATAACTATTCCATAAATATACTTTAGTACCATAAAATCAAATATTAAAAACAATAATGATCTAAAATATATATATAATATCGCATTTGGTCTCGTTCTGTATCGCGTATCTTGTCAGTGTCTGCGCTTGCTTGGCCATTTGTTGTTGAAAAAAAATAAGGAAAGTGTGTTCAAGCGCCAGCAGAAAACAGTGTAAAGAAATACTCTTTGAGAGAAGCAGTCTTTATCAGCGGAAGTTAAAAGCAGCTGGTAAGTGTATTTGTCTCATTAGTGTTTAGTGCAGTTGTCGTTGCTAGGAGTGTTATGTTAGAATCATTATTATACTCTTATACCTTTATATTTTGAATTGTTTTTAGCTTTATTTTTTGTTTTTCATTTAAATGTTAAGTTTTGAAATTTTGTTGTATGCATTTGTCATTTTTATTTTATTTATTTTTTAAATGTGTATAAGTACTATTTATAAAGTTGTAGCTTTTAGTTTTGGATCTGTTTTTAGTTGTTTTAATATTACAATTGATTGCTATTGTTGTCCTCATTTGTAAGTCACTTGTAAGCGTCTGCTAAATGACTAAATAAATCAATCAATAAATAAAATAAGTACATTCATTTTATATATTGATATTTTTGTAGCTTTTAAGTAGTGGCAGAATGGCAGCATTGTATTATATTAAAAACAAAAACAAAAACAAAAAAAAAATATATATCTATACACACTTATACTGATATTACCAGTTTGGACACGCTTGAATTTGTTTCTCATGAGCTTAAAAACCTCAGAAGGTAAAAGCTTTAGTTTATACAACTACATTAACTATAAATTCTCATAAACCCAAACATTTTATGGATGAGCTGGACTGAACAGTGAAAGAAAAGCAGTCAACAAGTGTCATTTGTGTTATTTCATACTTTTGAAGGTTGTACTACTATTCTGAAAAGTGAAAAATATCCATAAAATGAGGTGCGTAGTGCATAACAAACATACTGGTTTATTGATATTTGTGTAGCTGTTAAGCAGTGGCAGAAAGACAGCAGTGATCTATGTTTGCCTCCGAGTGTCAGGAGGCCCGTCAGTGATCACTCACACGCATCTAATCCACTTTTGATGAACTGGGTTAATAGACTCCCTGTGGTCATTATCAAAGAGACTCGTTTCTATTCATTTCTCAGCACACACGACCCTCACACACCCACCCCTTATTACGTGTGGCCTCTCCTCAAATAAATACTGCTCTTCTGTTCTCTGGAGTGTCAGATCATCCTCAAGCGTTCAGCATGCCCCGTCCGGACAGCTCTTACCCGCAGTTCATCTGGAGAGAGGCAGACAGAGCCCGCTCGGACCCACGTCCCGGAGCCGCAGTGGGCTGGAGGGAGGAGAGGGCTCAGGGTAGGGTGAGCTGTGACCCGTGCGCTCTCGTCCAGCTCCGGCTCTCTGGACTCACTTATCCCGACGAAGACCAGAGTGCCATCGCCCGAGCCCGGAGACGCCGCAGACTGGCCGCCAACGCCCGTGAGAGGAGGAGGATGCTGGGTTTGAACGTAGCCTTCGACCGCCTGAGGAGTGTCATTCCTAATGTGGAGAGTGACAGGAAGCTGTCCAAGTCTGAGACGCTTCAGATGGCGCAGATCTACATCAGCACTCTGAGTGAGCTGTTGGAGGAAAGAGACTGCGACCCGGAATTCAGTTACCCGATGTTAGCGACGGGCGTGCAGGATCAGGTCATCGTGAAGGGTTCAATGCCAATGGAAGAGAACAAACCAGAGCAAAAAACCACTCCAACCCGTAGGATAAGATCATATGCTGGGAATGCTGTGCGTCCCACTTGCTGTGACCCCAAAACACCTGAACTCTCAGTGGACTCTCACTATATGGAGAGGAGCAATGGAGCAAAATGACATTGATTTATTTATTTTTTTTATTGGCACTGATTTTGCATTCTCAGCCTTTATTTGTATTAAACTTGATTTTGTTTTGTTTTTATTATAAAAAATTCTTAATTTTTTGACATTTTGTGGTAAAATCTAAATATTCTGGAATTAATGTTATATTTTGCTTTTTATGCTATACAAATACATATTTTAAGAGGAAAAAAGCTTGTCGTTTTCTCTTGAGTTCACAATAAACTTGGGTTACACTATAGTCCGCTTTATACATTCTACAAACTATAAGTAAATTTGCAACTGTATGTCAACAAACTCTAATTAAGAGTATTAGTAGACTGGGTTATGCTTAGTAGAATAAGTTGACAGGTACTTGCAAAGTTACTAAATAGTCAGTAGAATGTGCGTTGAGAACCAGCAAAATAAAGTATTAGCAGATAATAGACCGTCTACTAATACTATAAATACTCTAAATTACTTTTGACATGTAGTGGGAAAAGTTACTTACAGTTAATAGAATGTCTAAAGTTTATTGTCGAAAAGTGTCAAAAATCAGCAGAAAGTTGATTTAGTAGCAACAGTCATAGTGATACTGGCCTTAATTATAATATGCCAATCCGACACCAAAAATGACAAGTAAAAAGTACTGAAAGTAGCAATTTTATTTTCGTTAAAATTATGTACAAGTAACCAAAGACATTATTTTGAAATTGGTACAAATTTTATGTTCCTGCAGTAGGCTTTTCGATAACTCTTACCTCAAAAAACACAACTGAGAAAAATGCGTTATAAAATAAAACGATTGGATTCAGAAAAGTAGTCTATCTAGTTGTCCAACAGCCAATATGTACATGAGTATTTACAGTTCTGTTGCTTCATTCAGTTCCCCGCTGTGTGAATTCAATCCCGTTGTGATGTTTGAAGCTCAGAGACACACTGCAGAACTGTGCCCAGAACAGCCCAGAAAATACTCAACTCCTAGTGTTCCGTGAAACCAAAACAGTTAAGCAGTGAGGGGAAAAAAATGATCCCTAGCTTTGCTTTCATTAAGCTGTGTGCACTGAAGTTATTTCAGTCTATTTCAGTCATGAGCAGCAGCAAAACGGCTGTGCCTCTGACTTCAAGCAGTAAGCTGAGGGCGATCGCTTTGGAAGGCAAACAAACAATAGAGCACTTTTGAAAACAACCTTGAGAAGATGAGAACAGTTTGGGTCAAAATTGGAATCTACTGGCTTTATGAGAGAGATGTCAAGTGCTAAATTCAATTTTGTATAAAAAAAAACAACCATAAACAATAAAGGACTAATCCAGCATGTAGTTTATGACACAAACTAGTGAAACGCAGGATGAAAATTTGATGCGTGGCTCACTTTAACAGTTGAGCAACCAATGGTCACGGCTAGACGGCAACCAGCGTTCATCGAAATTGTTACTGCTTTTATCTTTAATTCTCACATCAACTTCGGCTCTAACCAAACCTCAGTAGCAGCGTATGCGGGAGAATTTTCGCTAAACTCGGGTTACCATGTAGCCACGACCCAAACCCAAGGATGAGATTTCCTGGCTTCAAAAACGCATCTGAATTCATTCAAATTCCCAATAATTTCTCTCATGCACAATTCAATGAGCTCTACTGTTGGTTTTGAGCCATATAAGGTTTGGAAATCAGGGTTGCTAACATCACCGTTAACGTTCTGGCATTTGAACAATATGGTTATGTCACGACTACTAAAACATTCTAAAAACACTTTGTCCCCTCCCTGCCCTAGCGAAATGGAAAGTGATGTAATTTATTCATTCGCCGACCTCTGACACAGCGCTATCGATTAAAAACAAATTTGTGCAACACAAAAGAAGCACATCCTGAAGTGAAGAGAATGGATTTGAACCAGGAGGGCATGTCTTTGCAGCATTTCAAAGAGGACCAGAATTTCGAATGCTGCATGGATTCGCCCTCCAATCATTCAGGTCAGTGTCGAGCGCTTTTAAATTTACAGACTTGAGAGTGGAATAAAACAAACAGAGGGGGAGACATCCTTTAACAAGTTTTATCAAAGCCACTCTCTCCATTTCAGCCAATGAAAACCAACTTCCAAGGCGACCGATCAATAGACGGCAGATTAAGGAGGACTGTGATGAGAGGAACACAATTATGTTGTGATGAAAACATTTTAAGATGAAACGGTTGAACAGCTTGTGACAAACTCAAAACAGCTGCTTTTAATAGAGTTCCGTGGATGATGTGCTTTAAACTTCATTCTTTACAGTCTGAATGAGGAAGATACTGGTTGATGATGATGATGATGGTGGGTTGTTTTCCAGGTGAGTCGGGCTGGGCAGCAGTGAGCTGAGGTCTATGTGTGGAGCTCCTCAAACCCACTAGAGGTGTTCCAGATAATCAATGACCCTGGAGATAGACTTCTGTCCCGTGGTGCCCACGTCACACTGTAAGGTACAAAAAGACAATTGTTCAGTCAATAAGCATAACTTTCTTATTAGTTTTGCTTACAAAATGAGGTAGAACATTAGTATTGATATTACAGCAGGCTCATGTGTATGCTTGCCTACTTTTTATATTCATGTCGCATAATTTCTAGTGACAGGCCATTTTATCAGTCGATATTTGGCCAATTTTCAGATTATAGTGGTTCAATTTAGCCACATAGTGGTATTTTTCTCATGGGACACACTTTATTATAATGCATCCTTATAGAGTGGTGGAACTATGATGTCACTTTTTAGGCAAAAACCCGGAAGTGAGTTAGCATTTTAGCACTTCCGGTTCCATCGTCCCAGAGTCAATGGGTTTTTTGAATGGGATTTTGGTTAAATCCGTAAAATAAACTATCGGAGACATTAAACGTCATCACGCCGAACAGTTTATCAATTTACAGTATTTTCCAGTCGTAGTATAATTTGTAATAGAATTAATTTGTAATTAAATCAATCCGTGTATCATTCGATTATTCGTTTTTTTATTTAATATTGAAAGTAGAAAAATGAGAAAACAGCTCCTTTTTCTTTTTTTTTCCAAAAAACTAAAATTCAGCTTAAATTTTCGTTTTTCGTTCATGGTGGACAGAGCCAGTGGTGGTTTTGTAGGCAAACATTAATGCCTTGAATTTAATGCGAGCAGCTACTGGTAGCCAGTGCAAATTGATGAACAGAGGTGTGACATGCGTTCTTACATTACATTTTAGCACTTCGGGTTCCATCGTCCCAGAGTCAATGGGTTTTTTGAATGGGAGTTTGGTTAAATCCCCTAAAATAAGATATGTGGTTCACACAAGCTCAAGATACTTTCACGTTTTATTCTACGACATAAAACACACCAGTTACACCCCACTCGTGATTTTTTTTTTAACTGTTACGTTTCTTAAAAAAGATGGTTGCTAACAAGTTGCTAAATGGGACTACAGGCGCTGTCGGAGACATTAAACGTCATCACGCCGAACAGTTTATCAATTTACAGTATTTTCCAGTCGTAGTATAATTTGTAATAGAATTAATTTGTAATTAAATCAATCCGTGTATCATTCGATTATTCGTTTTTTTATTTAATATTGAAAGTAGAAAAATGAGAAA